CCAAAGCAGGTACCCAAAAAGACAAAGCCTAGACTTAGAAGTGCTTAGTCTAATTTTTTGTAATTTTTTTGTTGTTTGTGGGTTGCCGGTATATCACGAACGGTGCTCAAGCAAACACGTTGAAAAACGAGAAGACAAAATAACTCAAGGGCAGTGAAGTGTCCGTGGCCCCACAATGAAATATCTATCATGTGGGATTGCTGCCCAGTAAGAAGCTATACTCGAAGTAGACAGACACAATGTGAAAGTCTTGCCGCCAAGACTGGCTTATACCTGAGATGGAATGACACTGTCCTTATTATCCGAGTGTAGCCAGTACTCAGCAGTTTCTGGGGTGTGACCCTGTCAACACCCCTTGGGAACGAGAACGGTCATGTTGAAGAACGAGAATGGGAAATATCTTTCTTACATCCGGCAACCGCATCACTCCCAATCAGCTCACTTTTCCCGCCCAGTGTAGGCGACAGGTCGAAGGTTTTTCTCCCAAAGCTGCAGGACTGAAGCAGCCATACCGAAGCAGCCGTGGCCGAAGCAGCCATCACTCCAGCGAATCCCAGACTTGGTCGTCATCTCTGCACCGGGGTCCTCCTCCTGTTCTGGTTCTTCTTGGCCGCCATCTTCGCCATCATCAGGAGCGGTTGCCGCTGGCTTGGGCTTGGTCTTCGGCTTGGCCTTTGGGGGGCGCCTCCCCTGCCTCTGCACCTCCCCTTTGGTTTGGGCTGCGGCTTGGCCTTAGGGTCAGGACCGCCAGAGGCCCTGAGACGGCGTTTTCTTCCAGCCAACTGCTTCAGAGCAGGCAGCCGAGAACAAAGGAGAGTTCGGGTCGACCATGTTCTCTTTCAACAGCTCCAGCAAGCGATTCTCCAAGCCACGCGAGCGCGCCATGAAGCAGATTCCAACGTAGCCTGTGCGCGTGCGCAGGCATGCCCAACCGAATCTGGCATCACTCGGTGTCATGTCTACACTATTTTCGCGTAATAGCAATGCGCAATTTCTTCGTAAAATGCAAGTGGCAAAGAATGGTAGCGCATGGGTTCGGGCTTGTTTGCTGCACGGTTGGACACGTGATCGTCACCATCGTCGGTTGTTTTGCCGCCCACTGGCACCAAATGCTTTTTGCCGAGCATTTCGTTTTTCTCCATTCTTCCGCCAACTTGGGCCACGCTACTCCAAGCAGCAGGTCGCCATTGATGCTGCCCTCAAATGCTTCCGGGCTCGCGCAGGCAAAGTCAATTTCTTGCTGCCGAGGACCAAGCAAGGGTGCCCGCGCTTCTGACGCGCTGCTTTCTGGAGGCAAGGCGGTCTTCAGTATAGGCAATCAGACGGCTATCCCATACCAAGTTATTGGGTTGTCTCCTTCATCGTCGTCCTCGTCCTGTTGTCCCCCCTCATCTTCATCTTCATCTTCATCCTCAGCTGCTGCTGCTCCTTTCTTGTTCCCTTCTGCTTGCGCCTTCCTTCCAAGGTGCTAGAAGCTTGTTTTTGCTTTCCTGCTGGCCTCCATCCAAAATCCAACCCGATCTCATCCGGTTGGAGGGCACCGGGCCCATCCCCTCCAGATCTGGCGTTGAAATATGATTATTTATTCGTCTGATTGGGGAAAATTATCGTAAGCAAATCAATGCCTACAGTAAATTGGTCACATAGTTGTGTAAGGAGTAGTCAAATCGCCCTCTCCTTACACACTTCGGGGACGTCCCCAAAGTGCCGTGCGAGCAGCCAGAAAGTAGGCAAGAGCCTTGAATCAACAATCCGCTTACCGTCATTTCATTTCGTCCTCTTTTCGGCTGCTCCTTACGCACCTCGGGGACGTCCCCAAGCTACGGTGTGAGTAGGCAATTCGCCCTCTCCTTACACATCCCTTTTCCGCTATGCCGAGGCGCGGAAGGAGCAGTCAAAATTCTACCAGTGGTGTGGCCGGAGCAGCCAAGACCTACTAGGCCGAAGCAGCCTTCTTGCCACCGGCTGGGCCGAAGCAACCCTTTGAGCGCTCGGGCGAAGCAGCTTGACAAGGCACTACTTGTAAGACTAACGAGGCAGCCTCACTGGAGGTCGCACAGAACAGCTTCAGCCATGTCGCCAAAAAAGCCAGACTGAAGCCGTCACCACTTGAAGGTCGGGGTTTCTAAGCGCGAGAGACTCTGCAAAGAGCTTGCTGAAACTCATGGTTGGTGAATTCTGTCACCTTCAAGTTGCTCTTCAAGTTGACGGTCCTGCCAGGCAAGCCACAGGCGATACGAGTCACTGGGTAATGACAACTGTGGCTGAAACGAAAAGTTGTCAGAACATCCAAGTGATCATCACTTCATCGTCTGTGTCAGCCAGCAGCAGCATTTGCACACATCATTGCATGGCGTGCGCACTCCAGAACATCTTCCCAATCCTTTCCAAAGGCTTCTTTCAAAACTACATGGGCGCCATTTACCAGCCTTTGGAAATCTTCGCAGGATCGCTCGCTCTTCAGGCGTCTTTGGCACAAGGAGCTTCCATCATGGTAGGAGCGGGTCAAGATCCGAGGAATAGTACCCTAAATGGCTGCGGGCGCACTAGAAACAATTGGACATGAGATGAGTCATGAGAGTGGGAAAGGGTAGAACGTTTGGTCCAATGACTTCATGGCTTCTGCCACGCACCAAGTCATTTGGGCACCCTTTCGATCAGAGTGTACGTTTCGGATATTTTGGAGAAGATTTTCAAACTCGGCTTCTGAAGGAGCGAGCCTCTCTGATACGATGGTTGTTTTGCCAGCCAACGTTTGTGCCACAGCGGCTTGGTGACGCTTGTTGGCTGCGTGGCTCTTGAAATTGCTGCGTTGGAGACCCGCCTCCGTTCTCACATTGAATGTGGCAAAGCTAGTGGCGTGCCCTGCGCAAGCTTGGCAACCGACACCCCAAGGTTTGCCTTGCACTTGCAGCCACGAGCCCTGGCTAGGATCGCTTGGAACTAAAAGAAATTCGTTCTGCCATTTCACACCTAAGCGATCCCACTTTGCTTGAGCCCTCTCGACAACTTCAACGTCGACGTCTGTCACTGGGCCGAAGCAGCCCTGTGGCCGTAGCAGCCACGTTCATCGCGGCGATGGCCCCGCACTGCAAACTTGAACCAGAAACGAGATTTGCAAATATCTTTGTCTTGCATGAAAATATCTTTGCCCCCTCTTAAAACTGGCACGTACGCTTTCTAATCTGGTTGCGATGGCTCTTCTGACATGGCGCTGTTCTGTGTCAACATATGTCTTATCACAAGTTTTCTGTGTGGTCAGAGAAGACTGTCCCAATAATTGTTTTGGTGAAACACATGCGACAATCGCAATGGCTTCAGTGTTTTGAAATAGCAGCCAGGATTTGTTGAGTAATCAGCAGAACGAGAATGCAAAATAGAGTTAATGAACATAGCACATAAAATGGGCAGAAACCTTCAACCTGATTTCTTTCACACTGAAAAAATTACAAAAAATTAGACTAAGCAGTTCTAAGTAGAGCATTCCTAGGAAAATGCCAGAAAAGCCCTTGAAAATCTCATAAACCAACAGAAAACGTGACAAAATCTACCAAAAAAACAAGGGCATTGGCCGGGACCATGCCGCGACCAGCCCGGGATTCGAGCCCAGGACCATTTTGGACCGTGCTTATTTTCCCGCGCGGGTCGAGAGGGTGCCCCAAGATGTAAATCAATTGGGATGGCAGAATCTTGGACAATTCCCGAGTCGCTCAGGTAGCTTTCAGGGCACAATTTCGTAACTCCAACAAGGGTCCGGAGGGGTAGGGGAGGTAAGGTCTAGGTCTAGGTCTAAGGCTAAGGACTAGGTCTGAGGCTAAGGATAAGGCCTAAGGCTAAGGCTAAGGCTTAAGGCTAAGGCTAACATCGGACGTCGTCGCTTGCATGAACCCCGTGATGCTCATCCCTTCTCCCCATAACGGATATCGTTGCCTTAGAGTTCAGACCCATCACCACCACAGCATCACCAAAGCAGGTACCCAAAAAGTCGACTTTTTGGGTACCGCCCAGATTTACCTTCGGACGTCATCGCTTGCATGAACCCCGTGATGCTGAAAAAGCAAGGGCATTGGCCGGGACCATGCCGCGACCAGCCCGGGATTCGAGCCCAGGACCATTTTGGACCGTGCTTATTTTCCCGCGCGGGTCGAGAGGGTGCCCCAAGATGTAAATCAATTGGGATGGCAGATTCTTGGACAATCCAGGTCGCTTTCCTGGCGAAATTCGACCGGATTTCGTCACTCCAACAAGGGTCCGGAGGGGTAGGGGAGGTAAGGTCTAGGTCTAAGGCTAAGGACTAGGTCTAAGGTCTAAGGCTAAGGCTAAGGCTAAGGCTTAAGGCTAAGGCTAACATCGACAGTCACGCCTCACCCCACGGTGTGGGGTCGGCGGATTTCAGTAGGATTTTTCAGTGAACTCTGCAGTACAATTCACGTGTACAAGGTGAGACATTCCAATCAAGCTGACTTCGAGCAGGAAAATTCAGTTGAGTGAACTTCAGAAAAACTTCAGGGAAATTACTCCTGCGATGAGGAGTGAGAAGGTTCTTGCAGTAACGGCGCCCCGTAGGGATCACACAGCTTACCACGGTGGGAAGAAGCTGCGGAAACACACTTGAGAAGGTTGCTCCGCGGAGCGCGATTTCAAGCTGTTCGCGGGGATCATTAGCCCTTTAGATGAATACGTAGCACTTGACTTGACTCAACTGTATGAAGTGAAGAATCCGCTCACTTGAATGTTTCAACAAGATGCATTAGCTCTTTATGATATGTCAAAAATTGGTGCAGGTACGTCCAGAAAGCGTCCTTTCTGGATATCACGACCAAACTATCACTGTCTTCTTTGGGCAGTGAGTGATAGTGGTCCACTGCCCCCCCTGCTGAGTTTCTGTACAATCAAATAGCAAGAATAGCTAGAATAGTTCCCTTGGAAACAGGGGTTGACACACACACACACATCAGAGGCACTCTTACGCATACAGCTTCGTACTTTCTTTTGCACAGGTCTATGGTTCTGACCAAACCCTTGTTGGAGTATTACGTTCGCCGCTTGCCAAGGCTGGCCTTAAATGAACACTTGCCTGGAAATCATCATCGCTTCTCTGAAACTCCAAGGTGGACGAGAAGCTAGAGGGAATGCCCATCCAGTTTGGCCAGGCATTTTTTTCTGAATCCTTGAGATGTGAGAAGAGACTTGGAATGGAGAAAGCTTGAAGGAGATCACCGTCGAGGGTGGTAACACGCTGCGGCTGGACAGAATTGTAGGCTCAACCGGCCTCATCGTTCACCACTTAGAGGTGAGTGAGTGCCAGGGTCCAGAAAAGGAACCATGCCAGTCAGCGATTTTTCGAGGTTAAGAACGATCCTGGTGTACCTCTTGTGTATGCAGGTTGCAAGCTTTCAGTATGCCACTAGCATGCCAGCTAAAGCAGTTTGGACCATTCAACTAGTTGGCTTGCTTTAGGCTATGCACTCTTGATGCCTGCCACATTGCTGAGCGTACTTCCATTTGTACAGGTACGGACTAGCCAGCGCTCCCCCTTCCTGCTTTCCGCTTTCGTAAGCATCTTGAGTACAGGTATGGGCCGCCATCAACAGCGACGATGAGAATCAGCACTTTGGCATAGATCATTTCCATTTCATGGATTTCGCTGCGTGAAAAAGACATTTCATCTGCCAGGATTCTCGTTACTGGACGTGCCAACCGCAACCAGCTCCAATTTGAGGCTTGTGTAAGAACAGTTTCTGTCACAAAGCTGCCGGCCAAATTTGCTATCAGGACGAAATGAAGGCCACAGTCTTGACCATTGCCAACTGAGCTCCAGTGTGGCACCTGCTTGGCTACGAGTTTTGGCATTGTGAGCTATGCATCAGAGTCATTGGACATGTATAGAATTGTATAGAATATATAGTATACGAATAGATAGCTGACAATGACCTGATTTCGTTTGTTATACTAAGCCTGAGGTGCTGGCAGCTAGGTCAAGTCACAAGCGCATCAAGCAGTCTGGCTTTGAAACACAAGCTCACAGTTGCTCAAGTTCTGTGATGGCTTGCACGAGCCGAGCAACTGTGAAAATGGATCCGAAGTCAATCCGTTTGCGTGAACTGAAATGTGAAGAACATGCTCAGAAGTACACGAAAGCTTGAGCTGTCCACCTGCATAGACTGTAGCCATTTCAAGCCATGTGGAGCTGTTTGGAGAGAACTACAAGTAGATAACAATTTGCATGACGCATGTGAGTAGAAAGAATAGGTCGCAAACTGGACAAAGTCTATGAAATGCACAACAGAAGCTTCCGACCTCATATTAAACGCCTGTGCTCATGTCATATGAGCTGTCTTGGGCTTAGTGATACCAGGAATCTCTGGCAGTTGCCCTCCGCTGGCTCGGTGTCACGGAAATTTGCTTTGCAAATTCCCTCCTCGAGAGCAATCAGAATCAACATGCGGAGCATTAAACTGCAATGAATCATTTTGCAGCACCATGAGGCCCGGTGTTGCAAGTTCTGAAGGCTGTGATCCAAGAGTAGCCAAGCAGGTGCATCTGGGAAAGTGGCAGTTAGAGTTGAAAAGGATCTGAATCTCCCTTGTTCCCGAATGCGTAGCGAAGGGTTCTCGTTTAACTCTTGGGGGTCTGGGGGTGGAGCCTTGTTCGTGACCCGTTGTTTCTAAGTTCGCAACCGTCCGCAACCGTCCGCAAGTGTTCGCAACCGTTGGCAGTAGAGCGCTAAGGCGCTGCCATTGGGGGAAGCTTTTGCAAGTGACTTTTCATGGATGCGTCACGTGTCAGTTTGCAACGCTATTCCATTGTGATTTGCTTGAAAATGACACGTCGCGCAAGAAGCGTGATGCATTTCGCTGCACAGGCGCAGTGGCTTGAGAGATCCGCAGTTTACTGCGCAGTTCCATTGGGATTAGCGTTTGGAGAGTCGTGTTTTTGGGGTGTTGGATGTGGCCGTGCCATTGGGATTTGCGTTTCAGGGTGTGGCGTCGAAGCTCTGTTTTCGTAACAAGTCTCAGCTGAAATGGCGATTTTGGTGGATGGGAGTGTGCTCAGAACGGGTCGAAATCATTCTAAACGTGTGGTGTGGTGCAAATTTTGTTGAAGCTCACGTGAGATGATATAGTCACTTTTCGTGGCAGGCACAGTACTTTGTGCTGATTTTGAAGTGTGGAAGTGCGATTTTCGTGGCAGGCGCAGGAAATCGTGAGGTTGCGAGGTGTGACAGAGGTGACATTTCGTGGCAGGCGCAGTACTTTGTGCGCGTTAGACGTGTGGATGCGGAAAGATTCGTGGCAGGCGCAGTCGCTGTCACATTGCGATTGGTTGCGTGTGAGCGGGTATTGTTTGGAGGGGCTGGACTCGCGAAACTGCTTGGCAGGGCTGCGTGATGTGTGTGCTCCGGTGGGTGTTTCCGCTTGACTTTTGGAGGAAGTCTCGTACGAAATCCTCGTTTTGCAGACTTTGACATGTGAGTTTTGGAGGAAGTCTCGTACGAAACGCTCGTTTTGGAGACTTGACACGTGACTTTTGGAGGAAGTCTCGCACGAAACGCTCGTTTTGGAGACTTGACGTGTGACTTTTGGAGGAAGTCTCGTACGAAGCGCTCGTTTTGGAGACTTGACGCGTGACTTTTGGAGGAAGTCTCGTACGAAACGCTCGTCTTGTGCACCCTCGAAGCGTGACTTTTGGAGGACGTCTTGTACGAAACGCTTGCAGGACTGCTTCTAGTGTGCCACAAGAGTGTCCCACAAAAGTGTCCTACAAGAGTGTCCTACAAGAGTGTCCCACAAGAGTGTCCCACAAGAGTGGTCCTACAAGAGTGTCCCAGAAGAGTGTCCCACAAGAGTGTCCTATAACAGTGTCCCACAAGAGTGTCCTACAAGAGTGTCCCATAAGAGTTTCCTACAAGAGTGTCCCACAAGAGTGTCCCACAAGAGTGTCCCACAAGAGTGTCCTACAAGAGTGTCCCACAAGAGTGTCCCACAAGAGTGTCCCACAAGAGTGTCCTACAAGAGTGTCCCACAAGAGTGTCCCACAAGAGCGTCCTACAAGTGTGTCCTACAAGAGTGTCCCACAAGAGTGTCCCACAAGAGTGTCCTATAAGAGTGTCCCACAAGAGTGTCCTACAAGAGTGTCCCACAAGAGTTTCCTACAAGAGTGTCCCACAAGAGTGTCCCACAAGAGTGTCCGACAAGAGTTTCCTACAAGAGTGTCACACCAGAGAGTCCCACAAGAGTGTCCCTTGTCCCACAAGAGTGTCCTACAAGAATGTCCTACAAGAGTGTCCCACAAGAGTGTCCCACAAGAGTGCCCCACAAGAGTGTCCTGCAAGAGTTTCTCACAAGAGTGTCCCACAAGAATGTCCGACAAGAGTGTCCCATAAGAGTGACCCACAAGAGTGTCCTATAAGAGTGTCCCACAAGAATGTCCGACAAGAGTGTCCCATAAGAGTGACCCACAAGAGTGTCCTATGAGAGTGTCCCACAAGGAGTGTCCTACAAGAGTGTCGTGTAAGAGTGACCCACAAGAGTGTCCCAGAAGAGTGTCCTACAAGAGTGTCTACAAGAGTGTCCCGCAAGAGAGTGCCACAAGAGTGTCCTGCAAGTGACCCACAACAGTGTCCTACAAGAGTGTCCCACAAGAGTGTCCCACAAGAGTGTCCCAGAAGGGTGTCCTACAAGAGTGTCCCGCAAGAGTGTCCTACAAGAGTGTCCCACAAGAGTGTCCCACAAGAGTGCCCCGCAACAGTGTCCCACAAGAGTGTCCTGCAAGTGACCCGCAGAGTGTCCCACAAGAGTGTCCTACAAGAGTGTCCCAGAAGAGTGTCCCACAAGAGCGTCCTATAAGAGTGTCCTACAAGAGTGTCCTACAAGAGTGTCCCACAAGAGTTTCCTACAAGAGTGTCCCACAAGAGTGTCCCACAAGAGTGTCCCACAAGAGTGTCCTACAAGAGTGTCCCGCAAGAGTGTCCTTCCTGCAAGTGACCCGCAAGAGTGTCTCACAAGAGTGTCCCTTAAGAGTGCCCTACAAGAGTATCCCACAAGAGTTTCCTACAAGAGTGTCCCACAAGAGTGTCCTACAAGAGCGTCCCACAAGAGTGTCCTACAAGTGTGTCCTACAAGAGTGTCCCACAAGAGTGTCCCACAAGAGTGTCCTATAAGAGTGTCCCACAAGAGTGTCCCACAAGAGTGTCCCACAAGAGTTTCCTACAAGAGTGTCACACCAGAGTGTCCCACAAGAGTGTCCCACAAAATTGTCCCACAAGAGTGTCCTACAAGAATGTCCTATGAGAGTGTCCCACAAGGGTGACCCACAAGAGTGTCCCATAAGAGTGTCCCACAAGAGTGTCCTACAAGAGTGTCCTACAAGAGTGTCTCACAAGAGTTTCCTACAAGAGTGTCCTACAAGAGTGTCCCACAAGAGTATCCCACAAGAGTGTCCCACAAGAGTGTCCTACAAGAGTGTCCCACAAGAGTGTCCCACAAGAGTATCCCACAAGAGTTCCCTACAAGAGTGTCCCACAGGGAGTGTCCTACAAGAGTGTCTCACAAGAGAGTGTCCCATAAGAGTGCCCGACAAGAGTGTCCTACAAGAGTGTCCCACGAGAGTGTCCTACAAGAGTGTCCCACAAGAGTGTCCTACAAGAGTGTCCCCACAGGAGTGTCCGACAAGAGTGTCCTGTAAGAGTGTTCCACAAGAGTGTCCTACAAGAGTGACCCACAAGAGTATCCTACAAGAGTGTCCCACAAGAGTGTCCCACAAGAGTGTCCTACAAGAGTGTCTTTTGGACATATGTATATAGCTTTTCGAACGTGTTTGCGTTCGGGTTCGTGGGCTCCATCTTGTTTTTTCCCCGAGTGCGTAGCGAAGGGTTTAACTTTGGGGGTCTGGGGGTAGAGCCTTGTTCGCGACCCGTTGTTTCTACGTCCGCAACCGTCCTCAACCGCAACCGTCCGCAAGTGACCGCAGTAGGGCGCTAAGGCGCTGCCATTGGGGGAAGCTTTTGCAAGTGACTTTGCATGGATGTGTCACGTGTCAGATTGCGCCGCTATTCCATTGTGATTTGCGTGACAATGACGTGTCGCGCAAGAAGCGTGATGCATTTGGCTGCACAGGCGCAGCGTTTTGTGAGATCTGCAGTTTACTGCGCAGTTCCATTGGGATTAGCGTTTGGAGAGTCGTGTTTTTGGGGTGTTGGATGTGGCCGTGCCATTGGGATTTGCGTTTCAGGGTGTGGCGTCGAAGCTCTGTTTTCGTGACAAGTCTCAGCTGAAATGGCGATTTTGGTGGATGGGAGTGTGCTCAGAACGGGTCGAAATCATTCTAAACGTGTGGTGTGGTGCAAATTTTGTTGAAGCTCACGTGAGATGATATAGTCACTTTTCGTGGCAGGCACAGTACTTTGTGCGGCTTTTGAGGTGTGGAAGTTCGATTTTCGTGGCAGGCGCAGGGAATCGTGAGGTGTGAGTTGTGGTAGAGGTGGATGTCGCTGTCACATTGGGATTGGCGTGTGAGCGGGTGTGGTTTGGAGGGGCTGGAATCGCGAAACTGCTTGGCAGGGCTGCGTGATGTGTGTGCTCCGATGGGTGTTTCCGCTTGACTTTTGGAAGAAGTCTCGTACGAAACGCTCGTTTTGCAGACTTTGACATGTGAGTTTTTGAGGAAGTCTCGTACGAAACGCTCGTTTTGGAGACTTGGCGCGTGACTTCTTGAGGAAGTCTCGCACGAAAACGCTCGTTTTGGAGACTTGACGTGTGACCTGTGGAGGACGTCTTGTACGAAACGCTCGTTTTGGAGACTTGACGTGTGACTAGGAAGTCTCGTACGAAACGCTCGTCTTGCAGCCTCGAAGCGTGTGTCCTACAAGACTGTCCCAGATAGAGTGTTTTACAAGAGTGTCCCGTATGAGTGTCCCACAAGAGTGTCCCACAAGAGTGTCCCGCAACCGTGACCCACAAGAGTGTCTCACAAGAGTGTCCCTTAAGAGTGTCACACAAGAGTGTCCTATAAGAGTGTCCCACAATATTCTCCCACAAGAGAGTGGCCCACAAGAGTGTCCCACAAGAGTGTCCCGCAACAGTGTCCCACAAGAGTGTCTCACAAGAGTGTCCCTTAAGAGTCCCACAAGAGTGTCCCACAAGAGTGTCCCACAAGAGTGTCCTACAAGAGTGTCCCACAAGAGTGTCCCATAAGAGTGTCCCACAAGAGTGTCCCGCAACCGTGTCCCACAAGAGTGTCTCACAAGAGTATCCCTCAAGAGTGTCCCACAAGAGTGTCCTTTGAGAGTGTCCCACAAGAGCGCCCTACAGGAGTGTCCCACAAGAGTGTCTCACAAGAGTGTCCCGCAAGAGCAGGAGTATCCCACAAGAGTTTCAAGAGTTTCCTATAAGAGTGTCCCACAAGAGTGTGCCACAAGAGTGTCCTACAAGAGTGTCCCTTAAGAGTGTCCTAGAAGAGTATCCCGCAAGAGTTTCCTACAAGAGTGTTCCAGAAGAGTGTCCCACAAGAGTGTCCCACTCGAGTGTCCTACAAGAGTGTCCCACAAGAGTGTCCTACAAGAGTGTCCCACAAGAGTGTCCCCTAAGAGTGTCTCACAAGAGTGCCCTACAAGAGTGTCCCACAAGAGTTTCCTACAAGAGTGTCCCGCAAGAGTGTCCTACAAGAGTGTCCCGCAAGAGT